AGCGCCGGGCTGGCCATCGCGGCCATCGCGGCCCCCTGCCCCTCCCCCCCTGACTCCGCCGAGAACGCCGCGATCGGCAGGACGGGATTCCTCCTGGCAGGCATCCCTCTCCTCCTGGGTTCGGGAATCGAGGGAGGGATGAGGCATAGGGGAATGGAGAATGGAGGGATGAGGCATAGGGGAATGGAGGGGAGGAGAGGAGGGATGAGGCAAAGGAGGGAGGAGGCATAGGAGGACGAGGACCGAGGATTCCCGAACCCGCTCCCGACGCGGCCGAGGGGGCTCGGCTCCTCGGGGGCGCCGCGGGGCAGAGAGCCGAAAAAACTACCATTGTCTGCCCCTTCTTTCCCACCCCCGCACCCTCTCTCTGCGCTCCCGCTATGTCCTTCCCTGGCGTTCCCCCCCCGTCCTCTCCTTTCCTCCACTTTCCCTCCTCTCTCCCCCTGCTTCCTCCGTCTACCCGTAGCTTTTCTCGCATCCTCCCCTCCCCATCCAGTCCCCTATGCCTAATCCCTCCTCGGCTTCCTCTGTCCTCCAGTTCCCCCCATCTCCCTATCCCTCATTCCTCCCATCAGGGCGCGGTGGCTGGGAGCGTAGCTCCTGAGCCAGCGCGCTGACCGCGGCGGCGCCCGATTGCGGCGCTGCGCCCCCGCGCCCCCCCCGCCTGGTTCCAATGGCACCTTGCCCCCATTGATTTGCGGTCGCCGCCTTTGTCCCCAGCCTCCCTTCCCTTCCTGCCAGACCCCCCCTCGCACGTGGAAAATAACGCCCTTCGACCCCCTCCAGGAACCGCAACTCAATGGGGGCGGGGGGCGATCGAAACCAGGCGCCCAGGCCGCACTGGGCAAAAACACTTCCGCGCGAGAGGGGGGGGCGGGAGGGAAGGAGGGGGGGGAGAGGAGGGGAAGGAGGGAGGGAGGGAGGGAGGGAGGGAGGGAGGGGGAGGAGGAAGGGAGGGAAGGGGGGGGGAGGGAGGGACGGAGGGAAGGAGGGAGGGAGGGAGGGGAGGGAGGGGGGAAGGGGAGGGCGGGAGGGGGGGGACGGAGGGAGGGAGGGAGGCAGGGAGGGAGGGCGAGTGGTTCTGTGCCGCAGGGGGGTAGAGAAAGGCCCTTCCCCGAGGGGGGAGAGGTGAGAGGTGAACGCACCTGGCGGCGGGGGGGGGGCTGGGGCGAGGGCTGGAGGGGGGAGGTTTATAGTAAATGCCCCCCCCAGAAGCAGCCACTTGAGAAGTCATCAGGCCTGGCTGATTGATGTGTTCACGCCTCGATCCCATGCTCTAAGAATTCTGTTCCTGATGGTTGGAACACGTTCAGGCTCTGGGACAATGTCGCGGTAGTCCTACAGGAGTGCCAGGACGGTCGGTCCTTGCTCACGCCCCCTTATCGTCGGCCCTCACGCGAGGGCCCGCGAGCTGCCCTCCCCCGTCGGCGGGGCCCGACAGGGGGCTACAGGACGGAGGGGGCCCGAGAGGAGGCCCTGGACCGGCGAGCAGATGTCTGGGAGTGGAAAGACTCGGGGGCCCCCAAACGGGGTGGTGACCACACCGTGCGGTGAGTCGGTGGGGATTCGGGGTCACCGCACGGTTTTGGGACTCGGGTCGTTGTCTTTGTGGGCCCTGGAGACGGCAGGGCCGTTTTTTCGCCGTTTCCAAAAAATGTCAATTGAAAATGGAAACAGCAAAGAAACGGCGACCAGAAACGGCAAAAAACGGCTCCAGGATTGAAACCGGAGCCGGAACCGGTCAAACAACGGCGACGGAACCGGTAAAAGAACAACGTCGGAACCGGTACAAGAACGGCCAAACGGAAAAAACGGCCCTGTCGTTTCCAGGGCCCATTCAGGTCGTTCTCCAAGGATGTCTCGGGCGACTGGGGCATCCGAGGTCCAAAAACCGTGCGGTGACGGACCGTGCGGTGAGGTCTTGGGGGATTTCGAGGTCACCGCACGGTCTGTCACCGCACGGTTTAGGGACTCCAAAGGAACCCCCACCCTGACACGTCGATTAGTGAATTGTCCGTTTTAGGTTCTCGAGAGGGCGCCGCGGCCGTCATTTTCCAGGCTTGCGGCCGCCAGGATTGGGCCCTGGGTCGTTTTCATTAAACCACGTTGTACTAAAGGGGGTTCGGTCCATCCCCGATCTGTGCTGCTGGAATCGGTTGTGTCGTAATGGCAGGATTCGGGCCAACGGGTCCTTCGCAAAGGGGGACTGAAAAATGTCCCCAAACCCTTCGTGCAATCGTTCGTGCGGGATGCGCACGTCGTGCAGCATCAGCACGCGGCTGCCACGCGCCCTGCGCCACAGGATGGACTATCGCATTTCTGCCCGGTCCCACTGCGAAAGACCCCTTGTTGCCCAGAACCCAACTTCAAGTCGGGCATGTCCCTGAATAGGAAAAATACGCATGAACAGTATAACAAAGTCTGGTGACGATTTGTCGTGCTCCTTTTGACTATGTTGAAGTATTGCTTGACTGATTTCTGGGCCTCCTAGATGAGGTCGGAGGAGATGGGGTCGGAGGATCGCGCCGCATCGCGGATAAATCGGCGATGCGGCTCGATGTGGGGCCCGATTTGACCCACGTCGACGTCGCCGATGCATCGCCGACGTCTTCGATGCATCGGCGATGCGGCGCGATCCTCTGATCCCATCCACTCTGACCCATCAAGAAGGCCTAGATGTCGTGCACCCTCCTGGCCCCAGGACGGCTCCCTCGAATATCGTTCAACTATCTTTTGATCATCGTTTGACTATCGCTTTTCTTTTAAAATCCGCCTGCAGGAGGACATGCCCGACCGAAAGCAAACTGGGGAGGGCGGTAAAAGGGGGAGCGGGGGTCGAGGGACACAGGTAGAGAGGGCCCTCAGGGAGCCATCCTGGGGCCAGGAAGGTGCCCTCCCTCCCTCCTCCCTCCCCCTCCCTCCTCGCCCCCTCCTCCTCCTCCTCCTCCTCCTCCTCCTCCTCCTCCTGTTCCTCCTCTTCCTCCTCCTCCTCCTCCTCCTCCTCCGCCTTCTCCTCCTCGTGATTCCCTTCTCCCTCCTCCTCTTCCTCCTCCACCTCCTCCTCCCCCTCCTCTCTCTTTTTCCTCCTCCTCCTCCTCCTCCTCCTCCTCCTCCTCCTCCCTCCTCCTCTTCCTCATCCTCATCTTCCTCGTCCCCCTCCTTAGTCAGCCATCCTGGGCCAGGGATGTGCACGAATGGCGAACGTTCCTCCCCCCCGCGTATTGTTAATTCCTAGGCCTCCCAGATGGGGTCCGAGTAGATAGGTCGGAGGATCGCGCCGCATCGTCGACGCATCGGCGATGCGGCTCGACGTGGGGCTCGATTTGACTCACATCGACCTCGCCGATGCATCGCTGACGTCGCCGATGTATCGCCGATGCAGTGCTGATACATCGCCGATGCATTGGCGATGCATCGGCGATGCGGCGCGCTCCTCCGACCCCATCTAGTCGCTCCCCATCTGGGAGGCCTCTGAAGGTGCACGAAAGGAGTGCGTGTCTGCACCTCCCGCCTATTGTTAATTTGGACCCGTCCCTTTACAGGAGGGAGTATGACATACTGGTAAGACAATAGTCGGGTGACAGTGTTTCGACTCTTCTCTGACTAGTTTGAGGTATTGGTTGACTACGTTTCATGTGTCTTTCAAAATCCGCATGTAGGAGCGACCCAGCTCGAAGTGGGGCCACCCTGGGGCCAGGACGGTGCACGAAAGGCGTACATGTCTTCGCCTCCCGCCTAGTGTTAAGTCGGGCTTGCCCCTCTACAGGAGGAATAGTCGAGAATAGTAACAGATAGCCTGGTGACGATATGTCGTGCTCGTTTGACTATGGTTGGCTATGGCTTGACACGTATGTCGCGTGTCTTCCAAAACCCGTTTGTAGGAGGACGTGCCCGACGTAAGTATGGTGCCCCCCCCATGTCTGAGAGACACCCCATTGGAATTATGTCGCGTAAGCGCCACCCCTTACCCCGATTGCATGGTCCCATGCGTCTTCCTCATCTGCGTCACGATGAAGTCCGCTGGCGGCTTGGCCAAACAAAGCTCAGCAGCAATAGACAAACGCGGGTAATTAATGACAGTAGTTCGGTTTCCGTATCACTACGTGAGAGCGCGTGGGCATACACAGCCGTAATTAGGACCACGCGCATAGAAGCAGTAACGAACACTTGTGAGCAGATGGGGTAGTATTATTGGCCAGTGGGTGCGACAAGATCGTGCAGTAATAGATGCGGGCGCAGGGACATCTAGACAACCACAGCCGCATATCAAAGCCGACCTTGCAGTGGTAAGCAAAGGCGGAGCCCAGACTGTTGATTCCATTTTCTGGAAGCTACAGTGAGAGCTCTGCATGCAAACTGAAGCAATCCTACGTGGAAAGAAATGTGTTGGGCCCTGCCGAATGAGAGCTAACCAACAGCTGTTAGGAGCATTGAAAGTAGTTGTTCCCTCAGACAGTGCTTGTCTCAAGGGGTGCGTACTGCGTTCTGAGTGTATGGGCATGCCTGTAACACGTGTTCTCAGTGGTCCTTTGGATATCTGCGGATTGTTCAGTTTTGAGCCGTATGGATTATCGCTCGAGTGGCCGTGCATCTCGTTCTTGTTCCAATGGTGGTTTGGCTCCCCCTGGCTTGACGGGTCACACACACACACACACTGCCGCACCACTGACCCTATCTATCACATGTGGTTTAGATCATCTCTGGGATCCTTACGGCGTTGTGTCTTGCCTGTCGCAGTTGTGTTGGCGGTTGGTTGCATCCATACAGTTTGATTGTTTGCAGAACGTTGGCGCTTCCCACCCCATTGGTCGTGCATGTCGTTCTTGCTTTGGTGGCTGAAGGGATCCCTGCGGCTTGGTTTTCTGTATGGATCTTTATGGTTTCCCTTCCCACATGCGATGTAGGTTCAACGAGCACGCGCACACACACAACCAGAGAACCACATGGGATTACACAAACATGGGGTTCCACACCGAACCTACACCAACAGCAAACCAGATCTTGGTCTCACGTATGGGGCTTCACACATAGGGAGCTCCGCACCTCATGCACGAATGAGCTTGCTGGGGTCCACGCGCTAGCATCATTATGAACGGGTTGTAGCCTTTGGTTGCGACGCCATGGTCAATAATCACAGCCTGGAGGTTGCAAACGTGTTTGGCTGGGTGATGCTTCAGTTTGTCATCACCCTGCTGGTGAACATATTCGCCCTGGTGCTGGCCGCACTGAGCACCTCGAGAACCCACGCATGCGCTTGGGACTGGGCTTCCGAACGCGCCAGGAGTTCCATGGGGTGCATCACTTGTTTGACGGGGAGGTGTGCATTTGAGATCGCGGCGGTGCTGGTCGTGTACACGTTTCTGGTTGCTTGGGCCCTCGGCGGCGTTGCGTTGGTCGTGTCCATCTTGCTCGTGCAGGTGGCGCTGGTTTGCAAGGGCGGCCAGAGCGTCATTGACTCGGCTTCCGATCTCGCGACGAAGTTGGAAGATTTCCAGACCAACCACGAGAGGACCCCCCCCCGCTGGAGCCAGCGACAAAGCACAGCAGTCACAGAGGGGCTTGGCCCGCAGATGGAGCGTATGGGGCAAGTGGGCGTGCCGTGCTCCGCGCCCGAAGATTTCTCGCTTGGGGGGGCACACTCAGAGCTAAAGTGATATACGGATCTGGCGCGACACCGATCAGGGGCGTTTTTTTTTCCTCCAGGAAAGTTACAGCGGCTCTGAGCAACGCAATGCAAAGCATTGATTGGCATTGCGTTGCCTTGTTTCCGTTGCTTTGCACTGCTTTGCTTTTGGTGTGCGTTGCTTGGTATTGCTGGGCATTCCTTGAAGTTGGCTTCGCATTGCTTGGCATCGTGAGGCATCAGTTCGCATTCCTTTGCATTGCTTGGCAATGCTGGGCATCACTTGCGTTGCTTGGCGTTGTTGCTGCAGGGTGGCACAGGAACAGCTCCCCCCTTTGTCCATGAATGGGCCCGCATACTACAACGGCCACGCGATCGTTTCAATGAGTTCCATCGGCGCTGTGTCATCCGCAGCGCTCCTCCCATAAGCGGTTGTTGGTCATCAGTTTGACACAGGATCTCATCTTGAGACTCATCGCGCTTCGGTGTGTTCAGATAGGGCTCGATCAAGTGTGGAAACGCAGGGTGTGTTGGATTGGGCGCATCAACAACGATTACAGTCGAAACCGATGGCAAGGATGGGTAACCTTCCCCAGGGTCCCAGGTACCGTTGTATCCGTGAGTATTTGGCACATCCCAGACTACCCCCGATGGCCCGCCGCACTCGATAAAGCTTCAACACGGGCGTCCAAGGGGCTTGCATCCTTATCGCGCATCTTTGCTATCAGTTTTGACTGTACTCCCCGAAGTTTGCAATTCTAGACGCTTCGCGTATCCCCACCAGTTTTCTAGCTGCGCTCGGCTGTGGCGACGCGCCCCCCCCCCCCCCCCCCGAAGCCCACCGCTGAGGTGCTGCGTGAGGCTCAGGCCCGCCGCTTTAGGTTAATTCGTCTGTGCGCGCCCCGTTCTGACTGGACTCGCCGCTGGCGCGCTCGCCTGCGGCCGCTGACTAAAAAAGTATCCACACCAGCTTGCAGTCCCCTCCCCCAGCGCTGCTGCACTGCTTCGGCGCAGCCGATTCCCCCGGCGGTATGTCCTGTTTAGCTCCGCGCGCGCGCCGGCAATTAGTTCCGCTCGTAGCCCGAGCCGACTCGACTCGCCGCTGACGCTTTCGCCTGCGGTTGCGACAAAGGAAAATTCCTACCAGCTGTGTGTGCAACTTAGGCTCCTGGTTGTTAGCTGTAGCTTTGGACGGCGCGCGGCCCTTCCGCTTGCGCTCGCGAAATAAAGACGTATCCCCACCAGCCCATTCAGAAACGATGTCCAGGCGAGTTGAGGTGATCAGAGAAGTGCGGGGGCAAATAGGGGGACGGCCACACCGTGCGAAGGAGGGAGGAGGAGAAGGAGGAGGCTGGATGGATGGATGAGGGGGTGGGGAGAAGGATGATGAATAGGATGAGGAGGAGGAGGAGGAGGAGGAGGAGGAGGAGGAGGAGGAGAAGGGGGAAGAGAAGGAGTAGGAGGAGGAAGGAGGAGCAGAAGGAGGAGGGCAAACAAAAGGGCCAGAGGTCCTCTTGGGGTATCTCTTGGGCGCTTCTTGGTGGCCTCTTGGGACGTCTTGGGGGTCTCTCGGCGGTCCTGGGGGGCTCTCGGGCATCTTGGGTGCCTCGGGGGGGGGCTCTTGGGGCTGCTTGAGGTCCTCCTCGGGGCCTCCTGGGGGCCTCTTGGGGCCATCTTGGAGCCGTCTTGGGGCCATCGTGGGGCATCTAGGAGGCCATCCATCAAAGAAGGGGGGATGGCAATTAGCCTTGCGCCCCGAAGAGGCCCAAATGGGGCCACAACCCTAGTAAAACCAATGATGTTGGCTTCCTCACCGAGGCCGTTTTGGACGCTCCAATAGGTCGCGGCACCGCCCGTCCAGGTCCAGGGGAGGGGAAGAGGGAGGGGTGGAAGAGGAAACTCCCTAAACCACCTACGCCCAGAGGGCTGGTGGGATTAAGCCCACACCGCCGAGCCGCCGTGCAGACGCGCACCCGATGGACAGCGCAGCACTGCCCAGCTCCCTCGCGACCTTCGCTTTCCCATGACAATCTACATGCGTCCCCCGTTTTCCTCTGCCCGCTACCGTTTTGCCCCGTTGCCCCCGACAGTCGGAATCGATCGCAAGGATGAGTAACTTCCCAGACGGGTACCCTTGCATCCTTCCCTCCTCGGTCCATCCTTGACCCCTTCCGCCTTCCGATGACCAGCCCCGATGGAAAGTCTTCGACAGTGGCTTCCAAGGAGCTTGCATCCCTATCGCGCATCCTTACTCTTAGTTTTGGCTGTACTCTCTCCTCTCCTGTCCCCGCTGCCCCCCCGCCACCTTTCACTAACCACCGTTACCCACCTGGGTGTTTCAAGCCAACCCCGAGAGGATTGCCCCAGGCTGGCTTGAGATCACGTTTACAGGCGCAGATCTTGCAAAGTTCTGCGACGCCTCTGGCGACGTCGGAAGGTCGACCCTGGTGCTATTTCTTGGCTGCGTCCTGCTCACCCTGAGCCAGTTCTGCATGTCAGCCAACGTCTACGGCAATCGCGGCCGCATGCTTCACAGAAGAATTGGCGGCACGGGCGAAGATGGAGAAGGCGGCTGCGAAGGCAGCGAGGACGCCGGCGTCTGCCCGCCCTGTATGCTTTCTCCAGCGCTCCCGCGCCACCTCCCGTCCCCAGACCACTGGCGACCCGATTTGTTGGCGCATTGGCGGTCCGCGGAGCTCTCGACCATTCCCCGGGACCAGTTCTGCATCCCGAGCCGTTCTCTGACGGCCCCAGATCCGCACATGGCCCCCAGAGGCCGAGGTTGACCAAACAAGCCCAGCTCGATCTCTTGGAGCCGCCGTGCGCACGGGTCGTGTCTCGTCTCGTCTGCCCATTCCATCTCCTCCTCGGAGAAGTTTTGCACATCGACCGCGCCACCCTCAGGGACAACGTCAGGGGGGATAAGCTCAGGGGGGGGGATTTCCTGAACCTCATTCGCCCATGCATCACCGATAGGGGCCCGACAGTCCCAGCCTTCCCAGGAGCGTGCGGTCTTGCCATCGGGGGCCGTGGCCGATCCATCGGCGATGCACCTCCGAGTCCATCCCGATGTCTCCACCCCTGAACCGGTCCCCTCCCCTGCTGTTGCCCCTCAGATCGGCAGGGGTGCCCCAGATCAGAATGAAGAAGCATGCCCAGGAGCCGTCTCCGCCAAGACCCGTTTCCGTTATGCCATCCAGACCTCCATGAGAAGGGAATCGAGGAGGGCTTGAGGCTTTCAAGGGATCTCGTCATCATCAACAGTTGCGTCGCCTCTGTGGGCACCGACGACCTGCCAAGGATAGGCGCGGTGTTCACGTCGCTCACGGCCGAAGGAGAAAGGCTTGCACGTCGTGCCAGTCCCCAGGAGGTCGTTGGCGCCACGGGCTTCGATGCAGGTCTTGACGAAGACTATTGCGATCAAGCTCTTTTGCGTTGCGAACAAAATATTTGAGGTTACCTGGACCTCCCTGGGGCTCACCTGACATATCTGTTCGATACTAGTTTGACTCTGGTTCCATTCCAGTTCGACTCGGGTAGACGGACGTCTAATGCAGCATCAACACATGCGTGGAGCGAGATGCGACTGTAAGGCCCCCAGAACGAGCATCTGAATTACCCCTGAGTTCCAACGTCCGACGCTTGAGAACAAAAACATGCCCCGTAGGAGTAGCACGACCAGAGCCCTCGACCCTATCCTTCTGCGGGGTTGCTCGAGCCAGGTCAATCAGCCAGGGCTTCCTCGGGCCGAGATGGTGCAGAAGCACCAGTCGTGTGTTTGTTCGCGTCGCCAGAGCTGAGGGTCATGCTCAGCGGAGTCCATCGCCCCGCAGTCGGTGCGCGCTCGCGATGGGCGAGCCTGCCTCCTCCTCCTCCTCCTCCTCCTCCCCCTCCTCCTCCTCCTCCCCCTCCTCCTCCTCCTCCTCCTCCTCCTCATCCTCCTCCTCCTCCTCCTCCTCCTCCTCCTCCTCCTCCTCCTCCTCCTCCTCCCCCTCCCCTGTTGACAACTACACAAGGCTTACTGCCCTGCCCGCTCTTCTCTCCGAGAAGCGCTATTTGCAGAATAAAGTTGAACGGTACCTCGCGTTTCGTTCCCCCGACACTTGCGGGGAGGTTTTCAGAAGACGGGCTAGGCGCTTCAGTGGAGCCTTGCCGCTCACGGCCGATGAAGAGATCCTAGTCAGCACCATCTTCTGCCGGCTTGGACCTCACCCCCCTCTCTGCTCTCTGTCTTCGTTCCTGCGGACTCGTGAACTGATGGTGACCTTCTGGGCGATTTAAGACCCCACAACTCGTGCTGAGCATGTCGGACGCCTGGGGGTGACCACATTCGGCATATTGTCCAGTGTCTTACATGTAGTCAGATCGCGACCAGTTTTCCCCACCTCCCCCTCCTCCTCCTCCTCCTGCTCCTCCTCCTCCTCCTCCTCCCCCTCCTCCTCCTCCTCCTCCTCCTCCTCCTGCTTCGTCCTCGGGACCGGTGTCTCTCTAGGCTGAGTTTCTGGCGTCTTCTCACCCTGCCAGCGGAGGCCCGTGGAGCGCCGTACAGCGCATCGGTGCACAGGGCGAATTGCAGCAGTCGTGGCGCATTCCCACGCAAGACACGTCTGGTTGCACAGTGCTTGTCCAGCGACCTCTATTGTTGCCCGGCGCGAGCTCAGCGTGCATGAACGTGCCAGAGCTGTCGCATGCTTGCACAGAGTGCTGTGCACCACCCGTACCCATGTCAATCTGGAGAGGTTTCTCGATCTCCTTCCGTGTAAGACGCGAGGGTCATGTGGTCGTCCAGGCGTTTATGTATTGTTTGTTGCCGTGCGCATGTGTTGGATACGTGGGAGATCATTGAGTGAGGGCTATTCAGGATCTTGCAAAGATGCTGGGCTTGAAACGCGTTAAGTTAATCCTGCTCTGCCTGCCGTAGGCATACAGCCTCGATGTTGTTGTACGCTCGTTTTGAAATGACGCAAGCATTGAACAACACAATCCCCCAATCAGTGCTTGCGCTGAAGGGGCCCTAGCGGATATTGAAAGAGTTGGCGAAAGTCCTTGGCCGATTTCTGTAGCCGGTTGGGTGCCATGTTCCCGGTCCAGGGTTCCTGGGTTCTCGGTTGTTGGTTCGGGGCCGATTTCGGGATCGCACGACAGAGCCCACTATCGATATCATGATTGATTTCACTATCCATTGATTGGGTTTTTTCTTTGGTGTAATGCTTCTTCTCTGACTGATGTTCGCGTGATCCCACGCCAAGCCCAATTTCTCCAGATGTCCCCCGCCCTCCCCAGTCTGCGCGCCAGAGACGCGCCCGCGTTGCAGTCAGCATTCAAGAGGCCTCCAAGATCCAGGATGGGAAAGATCACACAGACACAAAGAATCGTCGATTCCCAGGACCATATGGGAAAGTATGGAAAGTGCGGAGGAAGACGAAGCTCCAGAAAATGTGGAAAATATTTGGAATCCTGGGTTTGTGTGTGTATTGATTTGTGTGCCCATTGGCACCCGCAAAGATACAGAGCAGAACTTGTAGGCCTGACTGGGGCTCCGGCGGAGGCGAGCCGACAAATTTTGAAGATTCTCCACAGTGCACCAATCACCGAGGTAGTATTACAGGTAATTGTGGGGAACACCCTGCGCGTTTCTCTCCCAGGACAAGGTTCCCCAAATGAATTTGCCTGTTCCAGGTCGGCATGTGCGGAGTTATGGTCCTGCTTCTTCGGCGCCTTTGCTGGTCTCTCCTTGTTCACCCCTTGTCGTTCTGACCTTCGCTGGCCTCTCCTGTGACAGCGTCTTTCTTTTTAGGTAGGCAGGGTTTGTCCGCCCATTCTACTCTATAGATCGCTCGTGGCTTGCCTCGCTGTCCGTTGTCGGGATAGCCCTCTTGAAGGGCAGCGGACTTCATCATCTCAACTCCCCGCCCGACAGGTTGGGGTTGTTAGCTTTCAAAAAAGGGCCCCCCGGCCAACCCCACCCTGCATACCGCGGCCTCCAGACCCGACGTTGCCCCGATGATCCCCGAGAATCCTGGGTGTCCCGCCTCGCGCCGGAGCAACCCCACCTTGCATACCGCGGCCGCCAGACCCCAAGCTGTCCTGATGACCCCCGAGAGTCCCGGGTGTCCCGCCTCGCGCCCTCGACGAACACGACAGAACACAACATGAAAGAACAGAACATGATGGAAAGGAACAGGACATGACATGGCATGGCATGACATATCAATATCATGGCAACGTAGAGCACAACATAACATCACATAACATACCAGTGCCGTCCATGGCATAACATATTAGGACATACCACAACATAACATAACAGGTCCGAACATAACATAACACACCGTGGCATAACATATCATACCATGACACAACATCACAAACCGTATCATAACACGACATCAAAGCATAGCGACGATGAACACGGCAGACCACAGCATCGCTCAGAAAAGCATGACATGGCATAACACAATCATGGTGTACAATGACAGAACATACCCTTGCTAAGTCATGACAACGTAAAGTATACCATCACACCACATAACATTTCAAATCATAACCTGACATACCATACGCCAACATAGCACAGCATAACAACACATAGTCGACCACGACAACAGAACCGAGCGACGACGAACACGACATAACACAACATGGCACAACATAACATGACAGAACACATCAGGCTGAGGCTCTCTATCCGTTTCGCACCGCACGTTTTCAAAGCTTGTTTGTTCGCCCCATGATGTCCTTGATTTTTTTCCGTCAGGAGATCTGGGGTTCTCTTCCGGATCGTCTTCCTTCCCTTGTCCGCCCTTCTCTTGCTGGCCAATATTGGTCATCCTTCTCCTCCCCCTCCTCACCCGCCTCGTCCTCCGCCTGTTCATCCTCCCCCCTTCCTCCCTTCAGGACTCCAGCGACGAGGATGACGAAGAGGAGACAGGGGAACTGGGCAGTCGCAGCCCGCAGACCACAGCGGCAACAACGACAGTGGCACACAGTGGCACGCCGGCGCGCTGGATCAGCATGAGCCGGCGGCTCGCCCTTGCCGGGCACTCTTCAAATAACACCAAGACCGTAATGATATATCCCACCGCGCAGCGATCCTAAAGGAGTTCGCTGCTGCTGCGCTGGAGGCTGGCGCAAGCGCGCACGGGCGCGAGCGAGAGCGCGCAGACGCCGCCCGGACCGCCAGCGACCTGCGCGCGCGCGAGAGTCCGCCGTGCCCACCTCCGATGTTCTCCTCTGCCCTGCCCTTCCCCCCCCCGGCTCCCCAGCTCGCCCCCCCTCACCTCCTCCTTGGCTTCCTCCTCACTCATCGCCGCCGCCGCCGCTGTCGTCGCCATCGCGCCGCCATTGCCACTCTTGTCCTCGTCCTCCTGCTCCGCTCCCTGCCACCCATTCTCCTACTCCCTCCCCCTCGGAATCGGGAGATGAAGACGTGGAGGAGGAGTCACTTCGGCACTCATCCTTTGACACTGGAATGATGCAGAAGACTGTCATGGCCCCTGCGCAAAGGACGACACGCGCAAATCGAGAAGCGCATGCAGTTGTTAGGGCGCACGTTCGCGCAGGAAGAGGAGGAGGAAGAGGAGGACGAGGAGGACGAGGAGGAGGAGGAGGGTATTCATCCTCGCGTTCCTCCTCCTCCTCCTCCTCTTCCTCTTTCTCCTCCTCGCCCTCCTCCTCCTCTTCCTGCCCGTCCTCCTCCTCCAGCGTCGGCAAGTGCGAGGGGATGGACCCCGCCGCCCTGGCCCGCCCGCCACAGCCCTTCAGGGGTTGTCCCCCCTGTTTCCTGTGCACCTCGGGGTCGCCGCCGCCCTCGTTGGCCTCAGTCAGTACCTCCTGCTGCCCATCCTTGCAGAAACGCACTCTCCCTCCTCCTGTTCCTCACCATTCTCTCCCTCCCTGCCTCCATCCCTGCCTCCCTCCCTCCCTCCACCAACCCCCCTCACCCCTCCCTCCCTCCCCCTCCACCACTCCGCCCTCGTCATTGTTCCTCGTCCCTTCCTGTCCGCGTCGCTAACCGCAAACAAAAAATTAAGGACCCCTTCCCCCCTTCCGGTGAAAGTATAGCGCATCCAGCATCTGGAAGCGTTATCCTGGCACCCTGAGGGGGAAATGAAGAGGAGGAAGAGGAGGAGGAGGAGGAGGAAGAGGAGGAGGAGGAGGAAGAGGAGGAGGAGGAGGACAGGGAGGAGGAGGAGGACAGGGAGAAGGAGGAGGACAGGGAGGCGGTGGACAGGGAGGAGGAGGACAGGAGGGATGAGGACAGGGTGTAGGAGGAGGAGGAGGACAGGCAGGAGGACATGGAGGAGGAGGAGGAGGAGGAGGAGGAGGCTTTTTTGGCCCAGCTGCAGGCCGAGCCCCAAGCGTGCCTTGGCCAGGCGGGGACGCTGATATCATACCCGCACGGCGCGTGAGCGTGTGTGGCACCGCCGCGCCCGACAGCGGTGGCGCCATGCCAGAGTAACTTCACCTCTCTACGAGGCCAAATCCCTTTCTGGAGAACTTTCCGTAGTCAACCACACTTCGAAATAGCACGCTCATCAGGGCCAGGGGTAGAATAGGTTGTCCATGGTGTCGGTATGTACAGGGGCATCATTGGGCTTGTTTGTGCGGACGACCTTGCGACAATCGAGTTCGAGGATCGGCACCACAGCCAAGACGTCAGCCCCGTCAACACCAGCGACGGGACCACTGTCGAACACGTCTGGGACTGCAGCGTGACATCCATCGCGGTCCTCAGAAGAAGGTGCGGAAGCAGCAGCACTATTATATTTCACGCTGCTTGGACAAAGTCGCCACGATGAAGCGTTCAGAAGCCACGGCCGACATGGAAACGATTGGGAAAGAGCACGTGCATCCGGACATCCCAGGCAGGAAGGCCTACAAGGCGAAGACGAAGCAGAAGATGCTCGAGATAGCGCGCCTGATCATAGTGGCCAGGAAGGCGGGCAAGAAGGACGCCAGTCACCAGCGAGGAGATGGATGGGCCCCACGATGCGAATTATTGTTGTAAGCCCCGACTCATCCTTTTTTCCCCAAGGCCCCCACGCAGGATGACCCGTTTCTGCAACCAGTGGATTGGGGGGGCGGCGAAGGCGTCGAAAATCCACCCCGCAAAGAGCCCAGGGTCGCCAAAGAGCTGTCCGTTTTTTGGGTGTAATGAGGTAGGGGCTGATGCACCTGGTTACTATACCCCCCTCTTTGGGGATCCTTATTTTCCATCACGCGCCTCCACCAGGGGACCCCCCCCCTGCATGAGAGGCTCGAGACCTATGGAGTTACGTCCGCCGAACACCTTTAGTCATAGCGATACTGCTGCAGCGCTTGCACACACCCTGCCTGGAAGAAACTTCACTTATTCATCGGCGGAGAGCCATGGATGCCAATCTGATGGACCACGAACCAAGGGAGGAGGGGCTTTCGAAATGGGGACACCGATTCTCCCTGGACCAGCCTTGTTTCGAGATCTTCGCGCTACGCCGATAACAGGGGTGCGCCACGCTCTGGCTTTAGAGGAGCCGCAGGATGCGGTCCAACGGCAGGACATTGGAAATATGCCAGTCGATGTTCACCATGACGCTCCGCTTGGGTCCATTGGCGGAGTAGCGGCAGCTGAGAGTATCCATTGTTATCCACCTTTGCCACCCCCTCATCACTCATAGCTGTAGTGTCCTTTTGCGTGGGGCTCGATTATCCTGGATTTCGTCTCCGCGGGTGCTCCGATGCCTTGGGTCATCTCTATTTCCTGAGTCCTTTCCTGTTGAGTCCTCCTGGGCCCTGGGGGAATGTTCTACGCGGGAATCACATTGGGAGGAAGTCTCATATTTCGCAGACGCGTCCCTGTGAGACACGGTGGCGATGCAACGGGGGCATGTGCAGCGGTATGACTAGGTTTAGACGAAGAAGGGGCATCGTTCCAGGGTGTTTGGGCTACCCCTTGTTTAGATTCCTTCCTGGCGCCTCGTGGGGGGCGGGGTGTTGGACAGCGCGGACATCGAGTGCGCCGTCGTGGACAGGGTCCTTCTGGCCATCATCAATGACGGCCAACGCCCGCCCACCACAGTCCACACTGATTCCGAGAACGTGTGCGATTATCTCCACGGCAAAGCATTGGTCTGGGAAAACAGCGCATTTGCTCGCATGGCGCAGATCATTCATGATGCGGCTCTCACCTTAGCCAGGAAAAGATGGCAAGACTTCGAAGGGCATCCCATCGGCATTGTCCACGTGAAGGGCCACGAGGGGCACCCCTGGTATTCCCTCGCGGACTATCCAGCGGGCCTCGCGGGGCTTGAGAAGTGGGAGCCCTGCTTCGCGTCGCCCGCGCGGGTGCAGGCCGCCATGCGAACCTCGTCGAGAATGAGACTGGCTCTCCAGTCCCCTCGCGCGAACACTTGAAACCGATCCTGTTCTAGAGGATGGAGGCTTCGGGGCACCGCCAGTGGACTGCCTCGCAGAGGACTTGGGACACCGCCCCCCGCTGAGAACGAGCAAGGCCACCCGCCCCCCGATCCTGAAAGTCGTTACTTTCTTCGAGCCAAGAGCGCCACTGTTGCCGAGCGGCGCGGGCGCAAAAGGTCACTTGGCAATCGACCCCAATGCGACTCCGAGGGCGCCCGCATAGCTCGGATCCAAGAGGCCCGAAATCCTGGGGGAGCCCGCAACTCCGGCGCATTCGCTGTGATCACCTCTGGCCGTGACACAACCGAGTCGGGATGCGAATGGCCGATTACCCTGAGGCTGTCGCCCAGGGCCTCCCGAGACAAGCCATTGTTCTTCGATGAGAAACAGTTCCGCGTCATCACCGCCGCGCCCGGCGGTTGCTCGCTGCCGCCGGCGCGCCGGGATTGGCGCTCAACGTCACGGCGGCGCGCTCGCCGCAGTCTGGGGCGGGGGCCACTGCCAGGTGCGCTTTCTGGGATGGCATACATAAGATGCCGGATGCCTGGGACCCCGCACAGGGAAGGCAATTCAGCTTCCGATGCGGCGTGCCAGGTTGGCTCGTTCAGAAGCAGGACGGGGGGGAGGAAGGTTCGCGCGCCTTTCTTGGATATGTTAGTGACTGGACGTGGGAATCGACCCACGGCTTCAGACATCGAACTGATTTCGGCAGTGCCCAGCATCGGCGGTTGGCCAACCGCGCCCTTTTCAATCGACGTGCTTTTCGTCTCGACGAGCTAGCAGAAGCGGCAAGATGGGGCTGCGTTCTCGGAACCCGGGAAAGTCTTGGCCTTCAAGAAGGCCTTTTTTGAGGCCCCACCGGTCTTTTGGGCTGCGTCTGTCTTTGAGCTTCATGCGATGGCGGTGTCTGATATCGCGGGGGCGGCGGTGAATGCATCTGGGGCGGACCCTAGGAGGCCTCGGAAGTCCTGCGTTTCCCGCCGCTCACTTGACCTTGCCAGTGCCTGCAGGCTGCAGGGGCATCGCCAGCTTCCGGGAAGAAGGTCTCCGCTGCCCCGCAGGGGGGCCCTACGGCGTCCAAAATTCTCCGCAGCGCTTGGAGGAGATGGCTCCACGAGGCCATTCCGGGGTTCGCCATGGACCCGAAGGCAGAGCCCCGGAGGATCGAGGGCGTTGGCCGATTGGGCACGCGGAGCGAGTTCAGACTTTGAAGTGCGACTGGCATTGCAGAGTTTCATGTTTGACACTGAAGCGATGGTTGCCAGGTCCCTGGGACAAGACAGGCGCGACCACCTCGATGAGGAGACTCCCTAAGTGCAGGGGCCGCGGACATTGGACTGCCAATGTCAGACTGGGATGAAGCCAGGATTATTTTGACGTTTGGGGGGGCGCGCCCAAAATCCCCACCGCCTTCCCGTCCGCGTCCTTTCCCTTACGCAGTTCAAGGAAACACATTTCCATATCGAAAAAGGGGCGGAAGGTTAGGGCGGCAGGTCCGGGAGAATGAGGGGAAAGATGCGAGGGGAACCTTGGAGAGCTGCTCATCCTTGCCGTGCAGGCTGACTGGACTCCAATCCCCACTTGGGAGGAGGCGGAGACCCTGTTCGCCGTCGCCCTCTTCGCCGCAGCCCCGTTCGCCCCGGCACTGCTCGCCGCCGCCATCTTCGCCCGAGACCCTGTTGGTCGCCTCCCTGCTCGCCGCCGTCGTCGCCCTCGTTCTCGTCGTCGTCGCCGTCCCTCCCCCTCATTCTTCCGGACCTTCCGCCCTAACCTTCCGCCTCATTGTCGATATGACCTAGTGGGCTTCCTTAACTCACCGAGGGCTTCCATGAGTTTCGA